TTTTTCTAGCTATCAGAAGCAAACCTACAATTTCAGAACTGGGAAGGGGAAAACAAGCAAAAAATCCCAATTAACCCACCCAAGAAGAGTTGGGAAGGTGAGGGACAAACCAGTTGAATAGCACTCAAGCAGCACTTTTGGCACTCCTGGAATTATGTGAGTGCTGCCCTTGGCTGAATGAGACACATCAGAGATTATATAGGGGAGAGGTGGTTGTTGTGCACAAAGAATGAGAACAGAAAGCAAGACCACAATACCTTTTTTTTTAAATTATTTGCTGGATCAAAATATAACTCTACCTACCAACATGTCTCTTACAGAAATTGTGACAAAGATATGAGATTGCTGAATCTCATGTTTCTGTGCAACACTGGTGGACAGTGCAGACAATGGTGGAATCATTCATGACCTTGGAGATGAGACAGTAACATGCACAGACTTAATTATTCATTAACAGACTTCAAGCAGATTTATTTTAATCAACATTAAGTTTACTTTGCTTGCTTTCATCCTGTAATTGCTTATTCTGTATCCTTAGTGAAATACCGAACAACTTTTCCTAAGCTGAAATAGCCCCTGAACATAAGTTTTCATTTTCCTCTTAAAATACAGACAAACCAAAAAAGAGTATCTTTAAGGAGTTAGAATCTGTAGGACTACAAGCAACATCTTATGACATTTCGCATACCACATCAGATCCAAAACTGTTGCAACTAACATCAAATTAGGACAGTTCTACAGCTAGTAACTTTGCTGATATTCTGCTCTATACTTGCTTTTAATAGAAATCCATCTTTGCACATTTCTACATACTTCTCAAATAATCAGCCTGAATCTTCTAATTAATAAAAGAAAATGGATCCTGGACCTCAGAACACACATCATACCAATCCCTAGGCAATGTGAGCCGTAATAGTAGAGTATCCAAAAACTTCCACAAAGGGGGAAAAGAGGTGCATAGGAGATGAAAATTAAGATCTCCAAAGAAAGAAAAAGAAAATACACATACTTTAAATAATGTGCTTACTGACTAGAGTTTATTTTGGCTCACACTGGGTTGTAGGTTTATGATTTTTGCAGGTGTCTATAGATTGAAGACTGTGGCAAGCAGCTGCAGTCAGGACTGACGTGTGTTGAAAACAGTATGTAGAAAAACCTGTTCCTTGCCTGCCTGCAGCCTCCACTCTAGCCAGAGAAATCACTTGCAGGCACAGATTAACTTCACAAAGGGATCTGAATTACACTCTCTCTCAGTTGCCCAGAAGATTAATAACACATTAACATTTCAGGCAGTTAGCAGGAAGCATTAACTTTGATCTGATGAAGCTGGGCACACTGCAGAACAAGAAGAAATAGGGCACAGAAGTAGCTCACCTTTAGGACTTCCTCAGAGACGTCTTTCTCTAGCTCTTCCAAGAACAATAAAAATTCCGTTTCTCTCTGAAGAGCAACTGGAACAGTTCTCTGACACCATATAAGAATGGGTAATATATTAGTCAACAAAACTTTTATTGACATTAGCATATAAACATAATCATAGCTATTTCATTAACACTTTGATGCAGACTGAAGTATCTCTCTGAAGGAACCTAATGCTCAATTAAAGGCTATTCCAGTCAGGTTCTGCTCTCGCACCAGCTGATTTTATTTATCCACACATGTGGAAACAGACCTCATCAAGAATCACAAAACCATCAATTCCTCAGAATGTAAATTAAAAAATGCAAGTCTAAGTAGTGCCAAGGACAAATTACTTTTAAAAAGAAGTATGCACATCCCTCCCCATCTAAAACTTATAAAGAATTGTCTGATGCCTGAGCTATTTAATCTTTAATGTAAGAGAGGTGCTGCACAAATGCAGAAGTTGATACACTCCTGATTTGCATTTATATTAATGTGAAAAGCTAAAATGTTAACTTCTAATACCTTAAAAAAAAACCCTAGTTTTTCTCTTCAGTCTGAATATTACAGTTCTTTCTTGATAAATTTGTTAAAAGCAAAAGCAATGCATGTCTCCAGAAACCTAGCAAACTTAATTCCAAGAAACATGGGAAAGCCTACATTTAAATAAATAACTAGGGAGATATTCTGCACTTGGAAATCAGATCTATAAAGAGCATTTGTAAGTCATCAAGATGTTTCTGTACCTGATTCATGGCAAGCCATTTTTCCAGCACAAGAAGCCAAAGCCATGCAGTTCTTGATGGGCTAGAATTCTGTCCCCATCTGCAAAAGCAAGGAGCATATACAGTGGATTATACAAGGCTGACTCCATATCCAAGATCCAGGAAAACACTGGCAGAGATAATTTTGATTTTGTATTTCTTTGAGTAAGATAAACACAAGTAAGTAGCCAAACACAAAGGAAGAAAATGCAGAGAAACCAGAATATTTGTGTTCTTGCACATCAACTCAGTGATTTCTTCTGTGCAAATAACTGCTTTTAGATAGGCCAAATACTACTGGCCTAGTTCTTCAAAACAATGAAATCTAGTTCTGGTCCAAAGTTCAGTCTGTACAGCTCTCTTTGAGCACTTCAGCAGATTTCGTTGAAATGTGACCACTTGCTAAACACTGCTATTTCCTGTTCTGTCTATTTCTACCAAAAAAATGAAGTTTTAGGTCACAGGACCCAAAAGCAGCTCTATGTCCAAATTAAAAGTGAAGCAATGTACTAATTAAACAAAGAATCCTTCTAATTTCCATCAGCATTTCACATCTTCCAGTACTTCAACATCCTACACAGCTGAGAACATATTCAGTACTGTCAAAGGGACCAGGAAGAGGAGAAAGCACAATATTGTTTCCTGTCCTTTCAAAATCTCAGAACTCCTAACTAAAACCTTTAAATGTGATAGCCTAGCTATTAAAGATCAAAAGATTGAAAATTCTTATGTCTCATGTGGCTGTTAGCAATATTCATCTAACCAGGAGCACACCTTCCCCCAGACTCCTTCAGCTGCTGTCAGTGTAAATTGTTTCTTAGAACCTTTACTGAAATGTTACACAAACTTTAATGTGAAGAAGTATGATCATCTGATTAGACAGGGGAAATACCAATATTTCCTGAAGTGCTAGAAAGTCAGCCTTCATGTACACCTAACTGAATAAATAAAAAGTAAGAGATAAAACGTAACTGGGATTGAGTAAAACTGATGCCATTCCAAACTACAGTGTGAGCGAAACAAGAAATCAACAGCATAATTTGAACTTCTTAGCATTGCAGGTTTAGAAATTAGGAGATTTTTCAAGAGTTGGAAACAAGATGACATTTCAAATAACTACACCACTGATTTTGGTGGTTACATTTCTAAACTAACCAAAGCTCCGTGTCACCGGAATATAATTTCAAGAGATGGTCCCTCTATCTCAGTAAAGTCTGACAAAATCAGCTCTGAAATGCTTCCAAGTAGTTTTAAGCTTGCATCAATCACCATATCAGGTAAGTAAATGAACACAACTCGTTATCCCGGTGGGATGGGCAGCCTGCTAAATTCTTGGTCAGTGATAAGACATCAAAGTTCAGAGAACAGCATCACAAGACACCTCAGCACTTAAGTGCTACTTCTCTGATTCTACCTGTCTCCCACAGCCAGCACTAAGCCAATTGCTCCTCCCCATTTCACATTCAAGTCTACGGACCCAGAGCAGTACCTTACTTACCTTACCCCCACGGGACAAGCTACAAGAGCCTGAAGAATTGCCTCCACCTTCCCGGGGCCGTCCCCGTGCCACCGGCTCAGCTGGGGCACGCAGGCCTGTGCGAACTCCCAGTGCCCGCGCCGTACGCACGCACAGAAAAACCCGAAAAGACGTTCCAGAGAATCCGCTTCTTCGTTCCCAAAAGAATACATCTTCCCGGGACGACGGGGTGACCCGGAGCGGGGTGACACACGCGAGGGCGATGCCGCGCTCCCTGGCGGGGCACGGCGCGCTGGGTTCTACAGCTCCGCCCCGGCACCGCCGCCCCGCGCCGCCGCCATCTTGGGCGCCGCCTCAGCTGACCGCGCCGCCGGCCCGGCACGCGGGCAAGGCGCCCGCCCATTGGCCGAGCCTGGGTGGAATGTAAATAGAGCGCCATGTTTGTTTGGGGCGCCTGACGCCGCCGCCAGAGCCCGGGCAGAACAAGCCCCGCCCCCACCAACCACACTCCGGCCCCGCTCCCACATATCGGCCCCGCCCCTTGTTCGCGCCTCGCGAGGCTCTGATTGGCTCCTGCCCGGAGCTCCGCCCCCTGTGCGGGCGCGGGGTCCGTGAGGGGCGGGGTCGGTGCGGCCGGACGTGGGAGCGAGTGTGCTCAGAAATACACCCACA